CAAATGCAGAAGGCGGTGCTCCTCGACACCGCTCGCATCGTCCGCCGGTTTCTTTCCCTTTGCTCCTAACCCTCGGCCGTTTGGTCTCCCCTACCGAGGGCTTCCATGTAGTTGGGTTTTTATATATTTATGTATTTTTTATGTATATGAGAAAAAAAATAAAGATCTAACGATGTGAGAGATACTCCAAATAGGCTTTAAAAATCTGAGAAACAGATCACCAGTCTTTCATGTCGGCTAAGCTATATATTCAGGTACTTTCGTTATTTGTCCAGTTAAAAAAATATTATAAGGTAAGAGATGATCATAAAATTGTATGTATTAAAGATATAAATAGGAAAAAAGAGTTCCAAGTAAAAACTGCTTTAATTCATAGTTTACCGATGTCTGCGTAACTTTTTTTTAAATCTTGTCGTAACATTGAATTATTTATACGTGGTAGAGCCATGCTGCAGCTATATTGGTAGTATAGTTATAGCACGAATGGGTCGGCTCGACTGGGGAAGGACCACGCTCTCACAGAATACCAGCGTAAAATAGCAGCTTAACCCTGGTGTGTGTCGTATGGTGAGTGTAGAGAACTGGAGACCTTTTTTACTGGAAAAGAGGTATTCCATCTTAGTCCTTACGGGTGACAACGCGTCTGCATTTTGATTCTTTATTGAGGATAGATGTAGATGTCTATGGGCCACAGCAACCACTTACCATCAGGTGGACTGTGTGCTCGTTTGTCACCCTATCCTATAAAAAAATTTACCTCTTCGGTACCACATAACTATTAACTAAGGTTTACAGACACATTTAGGCGAGGAAGATATACCTAACTACATTGGTACTAATGTACTAATGTGATCATTCTGTACCTTAACTGCCTGTTGCTAACTTCTGATTGTATTTTAACAATGTCGCTGTTGTAGAAATTAGCTAAAACAATCTTACACAAATAAAAATGCTTGAAAAATAAAAATCTTTAAAGTAAGTTGGGCCCTTATGTCATTATAAAAATATAATTGCCTCCGACTCACTTATGTCAATATGTATAAATAATAATAATAAATAAATAAATTAATTAATTAATTAATTAATTAATTATTATTTATTATTTCAAATAGATGATTGATGTGTATGAATCCGTTTAAATATATTTTTGTGATGTGAAATTTTGGTGAGTAGATTGAATACAAGTACAGTGACTTAGATACTCATACAGGTAACAATGGACTCGGTAAAAAAATTTTATCAATTTACTTGACAAAATTTCCACAAGTCAACTGCTGAACACAGGTCTCCCCCAAGTAATGCCAGAAAACAGTGTCTAAACCACTTGTATCCAGCAATTTTCTGCATAGAAGTCGAACCAAAATAACCGACATAGGCCAACGGATTAGTTAGCTAAGAACCGATGGTAAAGAAAAGTACCTACTCGAGTGGCAACCTCTTGTCATCTGGTAAAAATAAGTTATGTTGTTAGATAGTACCTCTACATGTAATTTATTCATTGTTTTATCAAACTATTTTTAAAATATGTATAATATTTTAAAAATAGTTTGATAATATATATATTTATTTTAGTTTGATAATATATATATATATTTTATAATATTTAATTATAAATATGTCAATTACTCGCGGTAACTAAATCACAAACTATAACAACAATTTTAATTCAATAACATTTCTTTTTTAAATACCTACTATATATTTCTTAATACAGAATTTTATATTCAATTATCAAACAACATACATACTAAAACTATACCAATTTATAAACGACAATATTCTCCTACCGCCAACGCCGAAAAACAAATGACTTTTTGAAACCTCCAAAGCATTTTGTCAAATCTAACAGCGTGTTATTAAAATTGGAAATAAAATGGCGTATGATACGCGCTCGCCTAAAACTTGATGGGTCCATAATGGCGGCAATTTTTTACATGACCTCGGACTGGGAAATACGAATTAGCGTTTCGAGCGTCGCCCTATTATTAAATCATAACAGGTCTCGGTCCGCAATTAGTTAAGTTCTCACGGCTGGATGGACGACTCGACAATTGCTGGAATTTTGTTTTTTTTTTTTAATTTGACGATTATCGGGACATAATAACATGAGCTTTCGGTTTGCAGTGTATGACATGGAGAAAAAAAATACAAAGTTGATTTACGTCTTCAGAACAATTTGAGATTTAAAAGTTTTTCGCTTCATTAATTTTTTTTTATAGGATAAGGGTGACAAACGAGCACACACTCCACCTGATGGTAAGTGGTTGCTGTGGCCCATAGACATCTACATCTATCTTCGATTAAGAATCAAAATGCAGATTCGTTGTCACCCGTGAGGACTAAGATGGAATGCCTCGTTTCCAGTAAAAAGGATGCCCGGTTCCCTACACTCACAATACGAAACACAGCAGCGTTGAGCTGCTATTTTACGCTGGTATTCTGTGAGAGCGTGGTCCTTCCCCGGTCGAGCCGACCTATTCGTGCTACAACCATAATATAGCTGCAGCATGGCTCTACCACGTATAAAAATATATATACAATTATATATACACCACGTGTTAGGACTCCTTTCCTAGGAATCCCTTTGGTTAGATACCACCTCTTAACTGTTACTGCCGCCAAACAGCAGTATGTGTCATGATATGTTCCGGTCAGAAGAGAACCAGAGAGCCAGTATAAGTACAGGCTGTGAGGCATTCCTTCTTAGTCTTCAGATATGTCACAGCATGCTGCAGGTGTCCATGGGCTGCAGTAGCGGTTTACCATCACGTGGGCTGTAAGTTCGTTTGTCACCTCGGCTTTATAAAAAACATCGTTTCATTCGGTCGCATATTATACGTGGTAGAGTCATGCTGCAGCTATATTAGTAGTATAGTTGTTGTACGAGTGGATCGGCTTGACCGGGGAAGGACCACGATCTCACAGAATACCAACGTAAAATAACAGCTTAACGCTGCTGTGTTTCGTATGGTAAGTGTAGAGAACCGGAGATCCCTTTTACTGGAAACGAGGCATTCCATCTCAGTCGTCACGGGTGACAACGCATCTGCATTTTGATTCGTAATCGAGGATAGATGTAGATGTCTATGGGCCACAGCAACCACTTACCATCAGGTGGACTGTGTGCTCGTTTGTTACCCTTATCCTATAAAAAGAAAATTGTATATGTACCTAATTTTGGACTTTTTATTGTTAAAATTTGAAATGGTTTAATATTCATCATTTATTAAAATAGCCTATCAACGTCCACTGCTGAACATTTATACTGCCTCCTTTACCTCATAGACAGGATATTTGCTATAATTGTCACATTTGGTGGGCGGGATGGTAAACGCAGTTTTTTTTTGTTATTTTGAATTGTATTGAAAAATATGCTGCTACACATCGCCTGTTTTAATTTCCTCAGACGCTTTTACAACACCCACGAAATGATAATATTATGTTGGTTTCTCTTTCACCGGCACTACACGTGCGATCGTATTTTTTATATTACGTATCTATCTCATATAGGATTAAAAGAGTAAATTCATAAGTGAAATATTTAATGCTAAATTTTAAAAGGGTATGTATATTATGTTTTTTTTTTTTTTAAATATTTATTACAGATTTATGAATGTTGGTATATTCAATAAATCATTAATAATCAGTAGCAACCATATTTGTTTTAGATCAGTGTAAGTTGTAGATCAGTGTTGAATATATACAAGGTGTCGATGTTGAATAGTATTTAAAATACATTTCACGACGCGGGAAATCTTAGAGTGGAAATTAAAGAGATATAATTTTCTTTTTCTCGGCCTCTTTCTAAAAGAATGTTTTCTTTCTAAAAATGAGTTTTAAAATTATTATTATTAGAAATATTTAGTTTGACACTAAAGTGATACGAAGAAATAAAACTATGTTAAAAATTTTTGTTTGATTGTTAAACTTATAGCCTTTTTACTACCTATAATATTTAACACTTTATTATTTAGGCTAACGTCGTATTTTATAAACGTGAAACTATTCATAGACATTAAAAATTATGCAAATAATAGAACTCTTCTGTAAAACGATGGCTATATTTTATTAGCGCTCAATACGTCTCATTCTAGATTCATAGTTTTTAATTGAATTCAGCCACTGATTATTGCTACCTATTTTGAAATTGATGTGACATTAATGTTCGTTAGCAACTTTATGTTAGGCTTGTATGTCGGCACTGTCGACATAGATGACGGCGTTCGACGAATAGAATTGTTGTAGAACCAGTGTTGTGACTGTTAATTATTTTAATATGTTGTTATTTTTTTTATGTAAAAATCTAATGATGTTATTAGCGGATAAAAATAATTAGTAACTTTTGGTAGTTTTTAAAGGTTATTTTGGTCGTTGTTATTACTATACGGGTTAGTGTAGTTTTTGAAAAGTAACGTAAATAGCAGACGCCGTGCGTAAAGCGTAGAATCATCGGAGCAAAAAATGTAAAGGCAGATGCGCCTTTCCACTTGAATAAGCCCCCACAAAGCCCAACAGTTATTGTTAACAATGCTATTAATAGGCTATAACTAGGTTATTTTACAATTCGGTATGACTTACCGAGGCGTTGTCGTAAATAAAAAACAATCATACGTTTTTTCCTCAATGAGTTTATTGCGTCAGAACAATAAATGAAGCTGATCATTATAACGCTTAGTTTCAACATCGATTACGAATACTATACACGATACCATATCGCCGCCGAGTCCATTAAAATTTATAATATTCAAGTCCGTATTGCACTTTGCTTCACATACGCCAACTGAATTACCCAAGCGGTACTATCCCTATTAACTTACAGTTCTTGGGATCGTTAATTACGATATATTTGTCTAAATATCACAAGAAAAATACAAAACGAAATACGAAATAGAATTAACACAATTAAAATTATTAACAATTAAATATACAGAGTCTGTCGCGCGCCATTGGCTTCAGGAAGTGAGGTATCACCAAGCGGACCGCGGCGGGTAACGACTGCGTCATGACACGGGAACGTGGTGCTGATAGAGTTGCTCTTGGCGTTCACATAGGGAGGTCATCTTCTTGAATGACTCTGAGGTCTCTCGAAAAAGCAGCTTACCGTCGTCACGGGGCCGTGCGTGGGCCGCGTCAAGCCTTCCAGGCGAAATTACTGGAGGTGATGACGCTGATAGGGGAGACAGCGACTCTCTTGCCGACTGAGCTCCGGCTGGCGCACCATAGAGCCCTCCCGCTTGGGGTGCTCCGTTGCCCATCAGAAATGGGACCGGAAAAAATCCCCGCTCACCTAACTGCGGAAACAACCCCGCTTGTAACGCGCTCAAGTTTCGATTGTAGAATTTCATTGTTTCAGTGACATAGCTCGGCAGCTGTGAGGTCTCATCGCCGCCGTATCGCAGACTTTCCAATGTAGATGCGAGACCTTTTATATCCGCGTATAATTTATTTAGCAGTTCTGCGTTGACTTCAAATGCGGGTCTTTGCTCCCGTGAATCCGGTGAGCCAGTAGAGAGTAATCGTCGATGTAGGTCAACGTTCGAGCTGTGTCTATCTCTACTTCTGCGCGAAGGGAATGCGGCATCACAACCGTTGACGTCACAAGGGTGATGTAATTTTAAATGATCATTCCTGTAGTGCATTCGCAAGGTGAAGTGGTTCTGAAATATTTTTCCACAAGCTGTGCATCGGTCTGGATTTTCATCGTCTATGGGTATGTCGAGATCATTAATGTCTGTACGATCGTCTGTATGATCGCTGCTTGCTGACGGTGAACGAGCTCGAGCAAGACGTTCTTCCATCGCATGCAGATCGCTCCCGCTGTCGCTCGGTGTATACAAATCGGAACGTAGTCTCAGACCTTCCCGAACCACGCTTGGTGCACTCGACTCATCATCTGATTCACTTTCAGCTTTAACCTGTGTCACTGTTTCCGAATCCACAGGAGTTTCCTCGCCGTTCTGAAATGGCTCCCATTTTTCTGGTTTTTGTTTCTTAAGTGACAAAGGCTCCTCTTCCGCGCGACTTGAACCAGGTGTTGAAATGTTTCTAAACAACTCACTATTATATTCCTCGTCGGAAACGCTATATTCGTTGTTTTGAGAACACCGGGTGGGATTTCCACTTTTCCTTTTTCGTTTATTAGGAACAAAGGATGATTTATCGTCTATGACAGTGGGTTCAGTGCGCGTAGTAGTCTCAGATAATGTAGGCGGAATTTCAATATCATCACGCTTTTTATTTACACTCAAGTCTTCAGGTTCATCGGTGTAGTTTAACCTTTCGGTTAGGGAAGACTCAGTTTTCTTTTGCTCTTCTTCTTGTTTTTGATCTGAATCACCTTCAGTATTTTCACCATGTTTATTACAATCGTCCACATGTGATGACGGAGACTTCAGTACATCGAACATAAGACGAGAAGGCTCTTCAGGGGATGGTATTTTTCTGTACATTTTTTCAATTTCACTGAAGTTACGAAGATCGTCAAGGGGCACTCGCGGAGGTAAAGGTGTAGGTCCTGGTGGTGCAAGGGGTGGAGGCAATCTGGCGGCCAAGTCGGGCGGCAAAAGTGCAGGTGGCGGCAACGGTAGTCTTGCTAGCGCCGGTAGCAGCGGGAACGGTTGTGCCGACCGACCATCGTGCGCTGATATCTTACGTCTTACGTGCGGCGAATGTAGCTTAGGGTTGGGATTAGCGCTATGCCTATTCCTCGAACGACGCGAACTAAACATCATTGTGCACCCCTCCACCGTACATTTATGCATTTCACGTAAATGCACTGCCGAAAAATGAATTTTCAACGCTCCTTTATCGCAAAAAGTTTTTAAACAGACATTACACTGCACTCTCTTCTTTCCCGTAGCAGGGTTGACAAACTGCACACCGAGGCCGAGAGGCCAGGGTGCGTGCGGCGGTTCACGACGCTCCGGCGGATATTCGGGAGATCGGGGCTCGTCGCGCTCTTCATCGCGCCCGCTGAAACTGGCTCCTAATTTTCTGAAGTCGAACTGTGGTGCCGGTTGGCTCACTCGCGGCATCATGAAATAGTCCAAGCCCGCGGGCAGGCCGGGGACCGCACCGTACTCTTTGCTCTCCATCACGTCACTGTCATAATATAGCGCGTAGTGCGAAGCGGGTGGCGCGCGACGCGGCCGCTTTGCGACTGAGGACGTGCGACACAGGTGACCGAGCGGGCGGCGCGCGACAAAGGCCAGCGCTCCGGGGTGAGGGACGAGGGAGAGGAGGGCGCGGGGAGATCAGGTGGGAGGAGCGTACGCTGGGCGGAGCGGATCGATGCGCAGTGGGGACAAGCGACACTCGCCCGCCGACCGACCACTGTAAACACAAGAGAACTAAAGCATCGCATGTTACGTAACTACATACCGCTCTCAGGCAGTAAGTGCACACGCTTGCGTGACTCGCGTGTGCCTAGAGCGTCCCGTACACCGACGGTTGCTTTGCACAAAGCGAGCAACTCTACTTTAAACAATAACTATCTAATATCGCTAATACTTACATGTTTCCACATACAACATAAAATAGAAAAGAATTAGAATTATTTTATTCCTAAAAATAACTGAAAAGGTTGATCACAATGATACCGGTATTCATTTGCCTAAACCTTTTTAAAACTTATAAAAAATCATTTGTTTTATGGACCGTTAAGTTTTTAAAATTGTCTTTCCATGAAAAGCTAATATAAGACATGGGTTATATAAACAAAAATACCTAAATTTTGCCGGGATAATTCTAGGATGATGGATGTTATATATTTCAAAATCACACTTCATCAGTCTGTAAAAGTCCATAACTCACAATCTCCACGCTTGTCAGGCGTATTAGCGATTGAAATACCACAAACAACATTTTATGCTGCAACCAGTCTTAGGTAGGTGTTTGTAAGTCAACCAATTTTGAGTCCACAATATCCGTGTATAAACGATACGTATCAAAACTGAGGAGGAATTCCAAATATTTCAGCAACACATACTCATGCAAAACTTCATAATATTAAAGATTACGTCCACTGTACATTTTATTTGTGATCCGTCTCCGGCCGAGCCGACCGATTAGTGCCGCAAGCATGCATACGGCATAAAGAATATTTGCCAAGTTTTTATATAGATATAGTATGACAAATATTTGACAAAAAAATGTTTGAAATTTTAAATAAATTTAGACTTCAAATACGATACATATATATTAAAATTATTCTTCCATTCTATAGAAAAAATATCTTATTAGTTAAAATAATAGCTACAGTAGCTACTAGAGTAGCATAATAACCAGAAAACTCAAAAGTCGTGGATTTGATGTCATTCGACTACTGTCGTGAACCACTCTTAGTAGAAGCTATTATTTATTCTGTTTAAAATTATTCTGTTTGAAAGTTTAGTTAGTGTGTTTAAAGAGAATATTGGAAGTGTCAACAGCACTGCTAGTAGGAAAACGTTATCACGTTTGGAGTACTACCTATCAACAGAGCTTTTATGTTTAGTTTTTAAATTATTCTTCAAATACTGCAATATGCAATTTCATTTACACAACATATATTTTATATAAAATAGAGGATACCTTCACGTGCTCATCAATCCACTTGCAAAGCGTGGTGAGTAGGTTGAATTTCTTATCTAAGTACACCTTTTAAGGAATTCGTTAATCGACGTATTCTTGATAAAGTCTCCTTAAGAAAGAATAGGTACCTACAATTTCAAAGTTATCTATAACTGATATTATATTATCGTAACGGTGATGCTGCTAAACGTCACCAGTTCCATGCGATATGTCATCTGTATATTATTTGGACGGATATCATACCATCAGTCAACCCCTTGAGCCTCATCTTTATATATAAAAATTACGAGTCACGTTGTTTGTCCGCGATGGACTTCTAAACTACTGAACTGATTTCAATGAAATTTTGCACACTGTGTGCATTTTGGTCCAACTTGAGAGATAGGATAGTTTTTATCCTGATATATGACACTCAAAAATTTTTATTGCGAATTTAAGGATTTTTATATGAAGGGTCGTTGTAAAGGGCAGAACAACGTCTGCCTGGCGAGCTAGTATATTATATATACAGCCGCGTGCATCGCGTGTAAGGTTAGGTTGCCACTTGCAATTTTTTGCAAATGATCGTCTTTAAATATTTTTTAATTATTCAATTAAAATAACATATAATTCTGGTTACCACTCCAAGTAAGATATTCTTGGTAGTGTATGACAATAGATTTAACTTATAAAAAAACGACGGCTCAACGTCAAGGAACGGAACAAGTGTAAATAATTATTCCAGGTCTGGATGTTCGTCCGTGTGTAAAATATATATGGAAAACATCTTCTCGATATTCGGTTAGGTTAGGTTAGGTTTAAGTATAAAAAAGGAATACGGAAATTTATTTTTCTTTGTAATGGATGTGCATAGTGCAAACCAATAGAATAATCTTTTTAAAGTAGATACCTATTATTTTTTATTACATGTGCATGTGTATATATATATATATATATATATATATATATATAAAGTTAATCACGAGTAGACGAAGAATTTAAAAGTACCTAGGTACCTAAAAGTGAAACAGTAAAGTTACAAGTTTATACCTATACCTACGTCTTACGACTGGACACAGGCCTCGTTCTCATTTCTAAGACAGTTGTGAAAAAAATTAAAAGTAATACCTAAGTATGAGGCAAATAATTGAAATATCTTCTACGTGATGAAAAACTAATATTTTTTAACATTTCTGCGCCGATTTCTGAGTTGTTTCTAAAGCAAATACACTCACAAATAGTTCAAAATAACATATTGATGTTGGCTGCACGCTGTTACTATCTTATTTTGTGTGATTTATTTCCAAGCTCTTGTAGTCCATCAAACGTAACAACTAACGCCATCTATCAAGATATTTTAGAACTACACATGTAATAAGATTATGATGGCGTTGTTTTATTTGTAATTCTGGGTTTCAATTTATTGATGCTGAAAAATAAAATGTAATAAAAACGTTTTTTTATTAAATTTAGAGTAATTTTTATGTAATTGAATATGACCCAGTTTCTTTAACTTCGTAGTTATCGTGGAGGCCATAACAGACGTGTATAAAAATCTGTACTTACACATAATCAAAATACATACAATGATTTTAATGTTCTCGCATTTAAAAATAACTGAACGTTTGGAATAACAATGTTATTTACTATTCACACCGGAGTTTAATGTTCTAAAACCCTAATAGGTTTTTGATGATAGGGATTGAATGATGTGGAATGAAATACTTTTCAAAGATCGTTTTCGACAAGAAAGGCAAACATTTTAAAAGCCCTCAAAACCGCGAACAAATGTTGCTACTATAAAGAAAAACCACTAGCAGAGTTACTACACTGATGTTTTTTATTCTTTTACCAAACCTCCAGTTGCGATCAAAATAAAGAGTTATATTAACATTAAGTTGTTTACTATTAATTAAAAATAATATATACATATTATCTATACAAATAAATAAAATTGAAGTGTCCGTTTGTAATTTCAAAATTACAGTTTTTTACTATACGCATATGAAAGTAAATACGGTACTTATAACTAAAATACAATTTTTAAAATTTTTGTCTGTCTGTCGGTCTGTTTGTTCCGGCTAATCTACGAAACGGCTGGACCGATTTTGACGGGACTTTCACTGGCAGATAGCTGATTTCATAAGGAGTAACTTAGGCTACTTTTGTATTAGAAAAAGAATTAGGGTTCCTCGCAAAAACATAAAAACCCTAACACGCGAGTGAAGTCTCGGGGAACAGCTAGTATAGATAATTATAAAATCGAAGTGTCTTTTTGTAATATCGAAATAACGTGGTATTTCCAAGTTATGAATATAAATACTTAATCATTAGTTTTTAAATCTGTCTGTCTGTGAAACTTCACGAACAATTAAAGACTTAATATAGCAGGAGTGATGTAGGCTTTATTTTATCCGAAAAACATGGAGATTTAAAAAAAGTGTTGTTTGATAATCTTAAATTTAAATAACACCACATTAATATGTAGATCCTATCTAGACGAAACCGGTGCAAGTCTCGTGTAAATGTGTGTAAATAATAATAACAATTTAAGATTCAAAATTTTGTACAAGCGACTTTAATATAAATTATTAAGAATAACTCAAAACCTAGTCAGACTAGGTCAGACCTTGATCAAATCTATATTGGACCCCATGCGAATCACCAGCTTTCAAATAAAAAATAATTAACGAAATCGGTTCACCCAAAAAAGTTATGGGGTAACACACATAAAAAAAAACAGTCGAATTGAGTACCTCCTCCTTTTTGAAGTCGGTAGAAAAAGGGCATACTGTTACCTACTAATATACCTACCTACTGCTGTATTCTACGAAAACTAACGAAAACCTTAACCACGGCACTAAGAGTAGGACATGTCGTCTTGATCAATAGATACATCTAACTCAACACTTACCTATGTCTAAAAAACAATTATCTAAATATTTTTTAGAGTTCAACTAAGCAAAAATTTTCAAATATATGTGTAAACCGCTTAAAAAACAATCAAATTATTAGGATAAAATATAATCTACAGATATTGTAATTTTTGGAATCGGTGTCAGCCAAGAATGTTTGTAACAATTTAAACGTGAGATGTCTTACTATAATCTAACAACCTTAATATAAGAAAATACCAATACCTAATTATACCTATTTATAGATGAACATTATACCTAAGTACATTTAATACGACAATATAAAAGTAAAAGTAAAGTTGCAGCCTATTTACGTCCCACTGCTGGGCACAGGCCTCCTCTCATTTCTGAGAGGGATTTAGGGCAAGGAAATGTCCGCCGCGCTGCTCCGAAATGTCTTCGAAATTTGTTTTTTTTTTATATGACATTTTTTACATATGATTTTATTTATGCGACAATATGCTGTGACAATATCTAGCATCCTTGATACGAAAATGTACCTATAACAATAAACATAAGGAATTACAGTAAGAAAGACGGTGGAGAATGAAAAAGAATCGGAATCGACTTATAATCCAGTAACTCGTATCGATTCTTTTTCTTGACTGGCGTATGGCCGGCGTACGCGT